AGTATCAATCTTTTTTTTTTTTTTTTTTTTCTAGTTGTTTATTTTAGTGAAAATTATGAACATGCCTGAATATAATCTTAATTATCAAAATTCCAAGCTTTTTAAAAGTTTGCTCTATCATCATTAAGCAATGACTATAACCAAGCACTTTGCTATGTCTGATAATCGCAAAGAGAAAGTAGACAAGATTTCTGCACAAGGAACCAACGGTAAAGAAGAAAAAAGTAGGTAAGGGATGGTAGAAGATGAGAGAGTGGGTCAGCCACTCTGCCTGAGGGAATCAGAAAAGTTTTCAGTAAGAACTATGCATGTGCTTTCTCATTGTGTGTGGAGAAGAGCATAAGAGAAAGCAATGAAGAAGAGAAAATATGAAGACTTTTCTGACAGGAAGCAGTGTATGAGTGCCACAAGGCAGATGCTTACACCAGAGGCAAGGCCCCAACGGGTGGCATCATGAGAGGTTGGTGCACCTTGGCATCCGGCATCTCTGAGTTTGCACCCTCATTCAAGGTCTTCATTACTTAGGACCTGGGTGAGCTTTTGACTGTCTCGGCTTCCTTGTCTCTAAAATAGAGAACACCCACAAGTTCAAGGAGGAAAGGTTTATTTCAGCTCACAGTTTGTAGGGGTTTTAGCCTAGAGTTGGCTATCGCCAAGGCACGGCAGCACGGCAGGGGGCATCACAGAGAAGAAACAGCTCTTAACATGACAGAGGCAACAGAGAGAGTGCAAAGAAGAAGGAAGGGGGACAGACTTGCAGGCCGCACTCCAGCGGTCCTCCTGCCCTAACCAGGCTTCACCTCTCAAATCACATTTAGCTATAAACTGATCAGCAGCCTACTCCATGGACAGGTACCACTCCCCTGAATCTGTCACCTTCCAAAAGCATCACCTAGGAGTTTGTAAGGTCTTGGAGAGGGGGACATCTAGACAGACACAAAAACATCCCTGATGGCTTTAAGTATATGAAGCTAGGAGGGTTAAGTGAGTAATTCACACACAACCAGCCTCAGTGACAGTGACCGGATCCATTATTACCCTGATGATTGTCATCACCATCATCAATGTTGTATTTTGAGAACAATGAGATACAATGAAGGAGAGGTTATGAAGGATGCACTATAAACTGTGATGCATTGCAAAATACTGCTGGCAGTTCCTCCCACTTCTGCATCATACCCTCTGCAATATGACTCTGCTTTTCCTATCAGGAGGTGAGATCTGTTTCTTCCAGGTTTCAGGTCTGAGCTGGTCTTTTGGCTTATTTTGACAAATAGAATGTGACATAGGGGACAGTGTAATGTTTATGGGCAAAGCCTCTGCAGTTTCTACTTTTAGTCTCATGAAATTCAGTTGCTTTAGGAATGGATCAAGTCAGTCTGCTGGTCTACTTAGAGTAAAATGAGGCACCCATCTAGATGTTGTGATTTGTGTCTAGATGCACCCCAAAGCTTGCGCAGTCATGGGGGCTGTTTAGAGCTGGCTGGATCTAGACTGTGGTGCTGGGATCAAGGGTGTGTGATTACTACATCAGTCCATTGATTGGTTTGGCATAGTCTGGCTTAGGGCATGAGTCGTGCTATACCCACCCTAGGGCAGGTAGGTAGTCTGCGTAGAACATAAGGGACAGAAAGCGAGCACTGTGCTGTCCCCTTTGCCTGCTTGCCATGATCTATTTCTCCTCTGTGATGCCCCTCTGTCATGCCACCCTGCCTTGGTGCCAGCTACCTATGGACTGTAACTTCTACAAACTGAGAAATAAATCTTTCCTTCTTAAACTATAGGGGGTTGGGTATTTTGTCTCAGCATGAGAAAAGCAAGACTCACTGCCAGAAACCCCAGACAGTCACCATTTGAGGCCTACCTGCTCCTGGCTGAACCGCAGTTTGGTCACATAATACGTGAGTGTGGCCTGTGCCCGGGGAGCAGAGGCAAGTTTCCCAGATGAATTCTTCCTCAGCTGCCCACCCAGCCCTGGGAGCAAATTTACAGTGGTTGCTTTAAATCTTGGAGTTTTGGAGTGGTTTGTTATGGAGCAAAAGATAAAGAAAAGCCTAAGAATTTTACCTTCAACAGGACATGAGAGGAATCATTGAAAGATTTTAAACATGATAATGACCTCAACTGACCTTGCTTGTGAAATGCCACAGCAGTGCCAGCATAGAGGATGTGCTGACAAGGATGTTACATCTGTCGAGAAGACAGACGTAGCAGGCAGTGAGCTACAACTTGATGCGGACCCAGAAGGTAACAGGAGCAAGCAAGGGCAAAGCCCTTTTGTGAGCAAGCTCCTCAGAATGGCCCTGCATTTGATTCAATTTTATGCAGCATCCTTGAAGTTCTTCACTGTTGGACAAGGGGATGTTGGATGCTTTTACTTTTGGACAGGACCCCCAACATTTTGTTCCAAGTTCTGAGAAAGAAATTCAGAACTGATGAGCCATAGAACACTCACACTAAGGTGGGAGGTAGGATGGGTATAAGCTGGTGCATTCTGCTCAGAAGTAGCCTCCTGTATGACCACAAGACCTTCAGTTTCTGAGGGTTTGGATATCTCAGCAGCAGTCAAGCTGAGATCACCCTGATCATAAAGTTAGTGAAGGCTTCACACAATAGAAACATCAAGAATAAAAGCTTTTCTGGGCCTGCCAGATAGCTCAGCAGACTAAAGTGCTTGCTTAGGCAGGCACAGCAATGAGGGTTCAATCCCTGGCATGCCTTGTCAGTCCCACAGCAATTGAGACTGGGCGTGGTGGCATGCGCCTGTAATCCCAGTGCTTGGGAGACTGAAAACAGGAGGATCACTCTGAGTCCACCTGTGTAGTGAGACCCTGTAGACCCTGTACTAAATACAGAAGAAGGAGAAGGAGGAGAAGGAGGAGGAGGAGGAGGAGGAGGAGGAGAGGAAGAGGAAGAGGAAGGAGAAGGAGAAGGAGAAGGAGAAGGAGAAGGAGAAGGAGAAGGAGAAGGAGAAGGAGAAGAAGGAGAAGAAAAAGACGAGCATTTCAAATAAATAAATAGTCAGCAAAATAGCTCAGTAGACTAAAGTGTCTGTTTAGGCAAGCTTAGGCAAGCACAGGGACTTTGGTTTGAGCCCCAGCACCACATGCACACGGGCCATGCCCGCAGTTGTGCTGAGCCAGCCACCAAGTCCGAGGGTGGTGGTGCGCGCCTGTAATCCCAGCACTGGGGAGGCTGAAGGCAGGAGGATCATTAGGAGTCCAAGCTCTGTAGTGAGATCTTGCAACAACCAAATACATTTAAAATAATAATAATAATAACAATAATAATAATAAATAAATAAATAAATAAATAAATGAGTAAAAGCATTATTAACTTTCTGTCTCCCCAAAGCTACCTGAGTGATTTTGAAGGAGTCAAGCTCCTCCGGCTTCCCCATTCATGAACTTTAGTGATAATCCTGCCCCCACACAGCTCCTGGGACTGTAACCACTGAGCAAACATGTGAATGAAGCTTTCAGTTCTCCACAAAGGAATGCATTTAACTAAACAGAAAGATGAACAATAATTTTGTTAATAACAATAATCCCTAAGCAGTGTCCTCAACTAAGGTCCTTTGGAGGTGGCTATGACTGCATGCTACTCAGGATTCTCAAAATCAAAATTGCCTGATATGCTTTCTTTTCCTCTTCCAGTTCCTGGAGCTTGGCAGCTGTGGTTTACAGAGCAGTTATGGTCAAGTCCAAGAACCATATCATGCATAACCAGTCCTGAAAATGGCACAGAAATGATATCAAGAAACCTCGGTCACAAAGATATGAATCTCTGAAGGGAGTAGATCCCAAGTTGCCAAGAAGGGCTTCAAGAAGATGCAAGCAAACAATGCCAAGGCCATGAGTGCACGTGACGAGGCTATCAAGGCCCTTGTCAAGCCCAAGGAGGTCAAGCCCAAGATCATTCCAAAGGAAGTAAACCACAGGCTCACTCAACTTGCCTATATTGCCCACCCCAAGCTTGGGAAGCACATTCGTGCCCACATTGCTAAGGGTCACAGGCCTTACAGGCCAAAGGCCCAGGCTCCAGTCAAGGCCCAGGCTCTGGCTTCTGCTCCAGCCCAGGCTCCCAAAGGTGTCCAGGTCCCTGTGAAGGCTCCACAGTAAAAGCCTCTTATCTGCTGATATAAAAACGGAAGGACTGGTGTGACCCCTGGGGTGCCATCTTTGGGGGACTGGTGTCCTGCTGTGCACTTTGTACAAATAAACCTGAAGCAGGAAAAAAATGCCTGCTGTTTTTGCAAGGGAACACAGTAAGGAGATGAGCATTCGACCTGGTTTGCTATATGTTAACATGTCATAGGCCACTTTCTGTCTATACTGTCTTACAGTTTATATTTATTCATTTATCAAGCACAGCTTACTGTGTGCTGAGCACCATGCTAGATGCTAGGAAAGAGGAGCTCATAGGAATCCTGACCTTGAGAACCTTATAGTCCTTGTAAATTGGAGATTATACAAACAGATAGCTAGAAAGCAATGTCCAGTGTTCAGAGCCCAAATGAAGTGTTAGTGGGACACACAGGAAGAAACCATCTACAGTCTGGATGAGGAAAAGGAAGGAAGGCTCTGTGAAGAAGTAATGTTCAGTTGCTATGTGTTTGCTATGGCATGCTGTAGAACACTACAGCCAATATGAAGTGAATTTGTAAGACTGAATAATAGGCCCAAAATTTAAAAATTAGTGCTATATACTTGTGCTGTCTTTTGTTTTAAAAATACTCTTGTTTTAGAGATCATAGAAAGCCTTTCTGGATTTATTGTATATTCCTTCATGGTTTGATAATGACTTGTTTATAACCCAGGCAATTCACCCAGACATCAATGAATAGAGCCCCTTAAACTTTCAAAACCTCGCCTTTTCTGAAAATAAGAGCTTTATAAACATAATATATGCATTGCTTTAAAATAAAAATTTCAACCTTCTTATAACTGAATGTGTCAGAATTTACACCTGTGAACATGTCAGAGAGATCAAACGGTGCCTTCAGAAAAAAAAAAGATGGTTCCTTCGGGAAGCCGTATCCATATACCAGTATCATCACCAATGTTCGCAGTATTTTTTACAGTTATACTTGGGAAGTGATGAAAGGATTTGAGCACCTTACGGAATGGGAGGATAACCAGAGAAGCAAGGGACAATTCCGCCCTGGTATAAAAATCCTTTTGAGATAGAAATATCAGCCCTGGTTGTCCCTACCTTCCCCAACCTGAAGAACCCCAAGGAGGTCAGAAGGCAAGGCTGTGTGAAGTTATAATAGGAAAAATAATGTAAATATTTCTCTGTGAAGAGAAAGATTTTGTCTCTCAGCCAGAAGACATACAGGTAAATAAAAATTCAGCCAAATAAAATGGATACTACTTTAGGTTAGCAATGAGCACTGGTTTTTCAGATAGATTTTCCCTCTTTCAGTTTGTATAGTTATAAAGGTAGATTGAGTCTTTTAAAAGTGAAATGACTTCTTTGATAGTTTGAGGCCATGGTATCCCAAAAAAAACATTTCTAAAACATTACCAATTTAAAAACAATCACAGTATCAATACTGGAGTCATGTCTTTCATTTTGTATATTATTTTTGAAAAGTACCAATAGAGATGATTAACGTAATGATTCACTTTTACAAAGGAATTATCTCCTCCCAGAAAGGTCCAGCGATAAATTTGTGTGAACTTTTTCATTGAATAAGTACTCTGTGCAGATCATCCCAGCTGAGCCCAAGAACACCATGCTGAGATATATTTTAACTTAACTCTCAGTTTACAGATGAGGAAATTGGGGATTATTTGTAAAATGATACTTAAGCCAGTTGTTAACCTTCTTGAGCCTTAAATTAGCCACAGGGCAGAGAGTTTCAGCCCCACAAATCCTCTATCTGAAGTCCTCCCATACTTGGACACGTATTTAGGCCACTCGACATCTTCATTTCCCTGATTCATTTACTAAAGCTATGTCAAGCTTGTCTGGATGTCTGGAGCCATCTGAACAGCCGTTATTTCTTGTCTCCTCAGTTTGCCTGGGTTCTGTATTGACGACATTTTCTTTTTTTCATGAATTTGTCCTGGGAAGTAGCTGTTTCTCCCCCCTACAGATTCATCTGGTGACCTTGTGACATACTGATTCATGGAACCTTCCGGAAGTCTACGGCACAGCTAGAAACAAAGGTTGGACCAGTCCACCCCTGCTCTCTTCCCCCAGTTGTCCTAAGCTCTGGCCTTGAAATAAAGCGTCCGTCAGCCCCCACGTCACTTGCTAAGCAGTCAGTGAGCCACGCTTCCTAATAGAGTGGAGGCCCAGCTGGAGTCCATCTCTCTCTGGTTTGTTAGCTGCACCTATAACCTCTCTAGTCCTCCTGTCCACTCTCATTCTCTTCCTCCTTTTGTCACACTCTCTAAGTGTCCACAGATGTCAAGTGTAGAAAAAAGACATGTGGTGTTGGTTAATGCTCTAGCGCTGGCACAGAGCTACTTCCTGAGGAAGATATGGCCCTCGTGGGGCTGTTGTGAGGCAGCCCATCTGCTTTTATCACCACCTAGTGCCTATTCTTGATTCAGATAGCTTGGCAACTTTTAGGCTGGCCTGATGCCATCCAGGGTATCCGTCAACGGGCCATCTAGCCATTTCAAGTGCGGCTGTTAGGGGGAGGGATCCTAGCCAGGAATTTCTGAACTGCTGTCTGTGAAGAGGCCCTATGCATCTTGGCTGGGGAAAACATCCAAAAATAAAAATTAGATACTGTGGCCATTTGTTTGGACGTTGTAGAAGAGTTATTAGTCACTGGGGTAGGGAAAGGATGTCAGAGACAACAGCATGAAATTAAATCTAATTAATCACTCAGACAAGTGGAGAGATCTGAGCCCACACTTCCCAGAACCATTGCTGAAAATCAAGGAAGTGGTTAAATGAGCATTTAGTCACCAAATTGTACTTATTTCTGAGAAACTGAAAAGCTTAGATGAAAATAAGTACATGGACAGTAAACAATGTAGCAATCTGAGAAATATGTACCCACTTTCTCAGAACTTAGTTGCAAGAGGGTCAAAGCAAAGGTACTTATTTCAATATTTGCAATTTACTAATCCACATATATTTACTAATTTAAATCCTAAGGAGTAAAGCCAAGGGCCTGGGGATGTAGCTCAGTGGTAGAAGCTCCTTCCTGGCAAGCACAAGGTTGTTCTGAGTTCAATACCCAGCATCAAACAAACAAACAAAAAAAAGGAGTAAATCCACTACTCTTTTGTATAAAGTACATATTGCAAAATTTTACTGTGTTTTACTGGTGCAGGGAATTTATGCAGGGTCTTAAGCACGTTAAAAAAGCATTCTACCACTGAGCTACATTCCCTATCCTAACATTCTTTTCTTTCTTTTGTGGTATCAGGAATTGGACTCAGGACCTTTGAATTGCCAGGCAGGCACTGTGTCACCAAGCTATATCGCCAGCCCTTCACTGCTCTTTTAGGTTCAAGCTGCGTGTGGCTCTGAAGGCCTCACTGAGGAATGGGTGCATGTACTACTTTGAAGAGCACTGGCTTTTAAATCTAACAAAACTGGGGCTACTTCCTGCTTTCCCATTGAAAACTTTTCTTTCTTGATTCCTGTTACTTCATGCATCAGAAATGAATAATAGTAGAGCTTCATATTATAATTGTGAAAATAAATTACCAATTAGACAAAGGGTTTCCTGTTATAAGTTCTTAATGGGTACTATAAATATGAAATTGACTATTTATATCCTTCTCATAATCTACAAATTTCTGCTTGTTTAGCCTAAAACTACATTGGCTTTTCATGTCTGTTTTCCCACTAGTTTGTCTCATGCTTTTTTTATTTTTACTTTTTCTTTTTTAATGTATTTGGTACAGGGTCTCATTACGAAGCTCACACTCATAGTAATCCTCCTGTTTTCAGCCTCCTCAGTACTGGGATACAAGTATGTGCCACCACGCCTGGTCTCGTGGCCAGCTGTGTGCACTCGGGGGCAGAGCCGGCACAGCATGTGGTGCTGGGGTTCGAACCCCAGTGCCTGTGCTTGCCTTAGCAGGCACTTAGTCCGCTAAGCTATCTCGCCAGCCCTTCCCAGTAGTTTGTAAGAGTCAATTGTTACAGATTAGGGCCTTGGGGATATCAAAAATGTTTTTTAAAAAGTTTTTAAAAATTAAATAAATTATATTTTAAAAGTGATAAATACTCAAAACTCATCACTTCTAATTTCTATTGCAATTTCCTGTCACCTGTGCTATTCCAATGATTTGTGTATTTTATCTATGTTATGGTAAAATACTATAAAATGATATGCTATTATGCAACTCTTCCCAAACTGTTTTTATTTATTTTTATTTTCTAGGTTTTCTTAAATTAATTTTATTGAGAAACAGCAATGAGACAGTTCCAAAACCAATTAATAGGACAGTTTCAATAATTAATACATTGCGTATTGTTATCTTCTTATTGGTTATTCGTAGTACAAGATGCAGACATGATATCCTGCCCAAATGCTATTAGTACAAATCTTTCTTTCATTGAATTAAGAGAAAATAGCTGTATATGTACCAAACTGTTTTTAATGACAACTGGTTTGAAAACAATCTTGTAGCTTGAAAATGGACTGCCCTCTAGTGGCCCCTAAATTACCCTCCTGAAATTAGTAAATATTGTATTTTCAAGACTTCTTCACAAAAAGCCAGTTACTAACCAGCAGCATCCAACCAGCTCAGACTAACTAAATATGTCAACTAATTTATATAAACTCAGCAACTGCGATTACTACTCTGAAATGTTTTCAAAATGCAATATTTGTGTACACATAGCCAGAAGTGAGCTATTATTCACCATTTTCTTACATGCCTGCTTCATTTATTAACACTATTGGAGTTCTGAAGCAACTGGACTACGCCCTGCTAGATCATCATCAGGTTTTTAAAGACAGTTTTTCAGAGCCCAGTCCTACATTTGCCTTATACGTGTGAGACATTTAATAAGTATTTGTGGACAGAATGAAACATATTCTACTAGAAGGCTTTAAGAGGGCCAGGGAAATAGCTGGGCTGGGGAGATGGCTCAGTAGAATAAGTGCTTGCCTGGCAAGCTCAAGGGCCTGAGTTCAATCCTCGGTTCTGCCAAAAGAAAGAAAAAAAAGCTTTAAGAGACAGAATCATGGTAACATTTTAAAAACTTACCTGGCTTTTGTTTGCGACTAAGTGAGGTAGAGAAAACAGCAGATCAGGCGTAGTGCGCGGTCCCCTTCCGAGCAAGATCCCAGGAAGGGCACCTGCCGGGAGCCTTGCACGACCGCTTTCAAGGAGTTCTCCCCGGGGGTTAGGTTGAGGTTTGGCATTGTCAGGCCAGATTTAGTTGGATTTAATGGGTTCATTTTATGTGAGGACATATAAAAAGTCATTCCGTATATTTTTACCCTTCTGTACTTCTTTCCTCTCTCTCTCCCCCCTCCCCTTCCCCTCCCCCTCCCCCATAGCGGTTTTACTAGTCTATATTCCCATCACCGATGTAAGTGTTGCTTTCTCCCTGCAGCCTCGCTTCCCCTCCCTCCCCTCCCCTCCCTTCCTTTCTCCTCTCCCTCCCCCTCCACCTCCCTGCTCTCTGCTCCCCCCACCCTTCTTTTGAAGATGGACCTCAGGCCTCACAGGCTCCAGGCAAGTGCTTTACCTCTCAGCCACATTCCCAGCCCTGTTCTATGAATTTTGTACTATGTATGATCTTTCATTTAAAATTGAGCCAAATAGGCTGGGGAGATGGCTCAGTGGAATAAACGCTTCCCTGGCAAGCACAAGGGCCTGAGTTGAATCCCTGGTTCCACCAAAGAAAATTGAGCCAAATAGACTATGTTTGAAAGTATAAAGTTCATTGTTAGTGAAAATACTACATAATTTCCATAAAACATGCCATCTTACAGGTTTTTAAATGGATACTTACTGATCATGCATTTTGTGTATTTTTCCTGGTTATTTTTTTTAAGTGTTTACATTTTCCCTGTTTTGTACTGGAGCGGGAATTACTAAAATTCCTAAAATTAGCTGGTCTTTAACTACAGAGATGTTCTGATATTTCTTTATTTATGTATTTATTTTTATATTTTAGGGAAGGGTCTACAGGGTGTTCAGGGTCTTACTACTAGATCAGACTAGTACTGA